AACAAGATCAAAAGCGACAAATAAGGTCATTTCATAATGGTAGAAGGATCGATGCAACAAGAAGAGCTAACAATCCTAAATATATAGGCGTTCAATACAGGAGCACCCAGATACATAAAACAAGTTCTTAGTGACATACAAAGAGACTTAGACTCCCATGCAATAATAGTGGGAGACTTTAACACCCCACTGTCAATATTAGACAGATCAATGAGACAGAAAATTAACAAGGACAACCAGGACGTGAACTCAGATCTGGACCAAGGGGACCTAATAGACATCTACAGAACTCTTCACCCGAAATCCACAGAATAAACATTCCTCTCAGCACCACATGGCATCTACTCTAAAATTGGCCACATAATTAGAAGTAAATCTCTCCTCAGCAAATGCAGAAGAAAGGAAATCATAACAGTCTCTCAGACCACAGCGCAATCAAATTAGAACTCCAAATTAAGAGACTAACTCAGAACTGCACAACTTCATGGACACTGAACTACTGGCTCCTGAATGTCAACTGGATAAGCAATGAAATGAAGGCAGAAATAATGATGTTCTTTGAAACCAATGAGAATGAAGACAGAGCGTACCAGAATATCTGGGACACATTTAAAGCAGTGTCTAGAGGGAAATTTATAGCAATAAATGCCCACATGAGAAGCAAGGAAAGATCTAAAATGAACACCCTATCATCAAAATTGAAAGAGCTAGAAGAGCAAGATTAAAAAAACTAAAAAGCTAGCAGAAGACAAGAAATAACTAAGATCAGAGCAGAACTGAAGGAGATAGAAACACAAAAAATCCTTCAAAAAATCAATAAATCCAGGAGCCGCTTTTTTGAAAAGAAAAACAAAATAGACCCTAGCAAGATTAGTAAAAAAGAAAAGGGAGAAGAATCAGGTAGATGCAATAAAAAATGAAAAAGGGGATATTGCCACCAACTCTACAGAAATACAAACTAGTATCAGAGATTGCTACAAACAACTTTATACACAAAACCAGTAAAACTGGAAGAAATCGATAAATTCCTGTACACTTGCACCCTCCCAAGCCTAAACCAGAAGAAGTTGAAACCCTGAAAAGAACAATAACAAGGTCTGAAGTTGAGGCAGCAATTAATAGCCTGTCAATCAAAAAAAGCCTAGGTCCAGATGGGTTCACAGCCAAATTCCACCAGACATATAAAGGGGAGCTGGTATCAGTCCTTCTGGAACTATTCCAAACAATACCAAATGAGGGAATCCTTCCCAAATGATTTTATGAGACCAACATCATCCTGATACGAAAACCTGGCAGAGACTCGACAAGAAAATAAAACTTCAGGCCAATATCCATGATGAACATAGATGCAAAAATCTTCAATAAAATACTGGCAAACCGATTATAACAGCACATCAAAAAGCTTATCCATCATGATCAAGTAGACTTCATTCTGGAGATGCAAGACTGGTTCAACATACTGAAGTCTGTAAACATAATCCACCACATAAACAGAACCAAAGAAAAAAACCACATGATTATGTCAATAGATGCAGGGAAGGCCTTTGACAAAATTCAACAGCTCTGTATGCTAAAAACTCTCAATAAACTAGGTATCAAAGGAACATATTACAAAATAGTAAAAGCTATTTATGACAAACCTACAGCCAATATCATACTGAAAAGGCAAAAACTGGAAGCATTCCCTTTGAAATTCAGCACTAGACATGGATCCCCTCTCTCACCACTTCTATTCAATATAGTATTGGAAATTCTAGCCAGAACAATTAGACAAGAAAAAAAAATAAAGGGTATGCAATTAGGAAAGGAAGAAGTGAAATTTTCTCTATTTGCAGATGACATGACTGTGTATTTAGAAAACCCAATCATCTCAGCCCAAAATCTCCTGAAACTGATAAGCAACTTCAGCAAAGTCTCAGGATACAAAATCAATGTGCAGAAATCACAAGCATTTCTATACACCAATAACAGTCTTAAAGAGAGCCAAATCAAGAGTGAACTCCCATTCACAATTGCCACAAAGAGAATAAAATACCTAGGAATACAACTAACAAAGGATGTAAAGGACCTCTTCAAGAAGAACTACAAACCCCTGCTCAAGGAAATGGAAATAAGAGAGGACACAAACAAATGGAGGAACATTCCATCATCATGTTTAGGAAGAATCAATATTGTGAAAATTGCCACACTGCCCAAAGTAATTTATAGATTCAACGCTATCCCCATCAAGCTACCAATGACCTTCTTCACAGAACTCGAAAAAAACTACCTGGAACTTCATATGAAACCAAAAGAGAGACCTCATAGCCAAGACAATCCTAAGCAAAAAGAACAAAGCCAGAAGCATCATGCTATTTGATTTCAAACTGTATTACAAAGCTACAGTGATCAAAACAGCATTGTACTGGTACCAAAACAGAGATATAGACCAATGGAACACAACAGTGGCCTTGGAAGCAATGCCACACATCTACAACTATCTGATCTTCCACAAACCTGCCAAAAAAAAATCAATGGGGAAAGGATTCCCTGTTTAATAAGTGGTGTTGGGAAAACTGGCTTGCAGTGTGCAGAAAGCAGAAACTAGACCCCTTCCTGACACCTTACACTAAAATTAAGATGGGTTAAAGATTTAAATGGAAGACTTAATACCATAAAAACCCTAGAAGAAAACCTACGCAAAACCATTCAGGACATAGGCATAGGCAACAACTTCATGACAAACACAAAAAGCTTTGGCAGCAAAAGCCGAAATAGACAAATGAGATCTAATTAAACTCCAGAGCTTTTGTACAGCAAAAGAAACAATCATTATCGTAAACAGGCAACCAACAGAATGGGAAAAAATTTTTGCCATCTACCCATCTGACAAAGTGCTAATATCCAGAGTGTACAAAGAACTAAAACAGATTTACAAGAAAAAACCCATCCAAAAGTGGGAGAAGGATATGAACAGATACTTTTCAAAAGGAGACATATATAAGGCCAACAAACATATGAAAAAATGCTCATCGTCACTGATTATTAGAGAAATACAAATCAAAACCACATTGAGATACCACCTCACTCCAGTTAGAATGGTGATCATTAAAAAATCTGGAGACAACAGATGCTGAAAAGGATGTGGAGAAATAGGAACACTTTTACACTGTTGATGGGAGTATAAACTAGTTCAACCATTGTGGAAGACAGCATGGAGCTTCCTCAAGGACCTAGAAATAGAAATTTCTTTTGACCCAGCAATCCCATTACTTGGTATATACCCAAAGGATTATAAGTTTTTCTATTATAAAGACACATGCACACATATGTTCATAGTGGCACTGTTTACAACAGCAGAGACCAGGAACCAACCTGATTGCCCATAATTGATAGACTGGATAAGGAAAATGTGACACATATACACCATGGAATACTATGCAGCCATAAGAAATGATGAGTTCATGTCCTTTGTAGGGACATGGATTAATCTGGAAACCATCATTCTCAGCAAACTGACACGAGAACAGAAAATCAAACACTGCTTGTTCTCACTCATAGGCAGGTGTTGAACAGTGAGAACACAGGGACACAGGGAGAAGAGCATCACATACTAGGGTTGTTATGGAGGAGAAGGGAGGGACAGGAGGGAGTGGGGAGGTTGGGAGGGTAACATGGAGAAAAATGCCAAACATCGGTGATGGGGGGATGGAGACAGCAAATCACATTGCCCTGTATATACCTGTGTAACAATTTCTGCATGATCTGCATATGTACCCAAGAACCTAAAGTTAAAAAAAAAAAAAAAGTTATTTCTTTAAGGATGTTGAATACTGGCCCCGACTCTTGTCTGACTTGTAGGGCTTCTACCCAGAGATCCACTGTGAGTCTGATGGGTTTCTCTTTGTGGATATCTCAATCTTTCTCTCTGGCTTCCTGCATTTTTTCCTTCATTTCAACCCTGGTGAATCTGATGATTATGTGCCTTGGGGTTGGTCTTCTTCAGGAATTTCTTTGTGATGATCTCTGTATTTCCTGGACTTGAATGTCGGCCTGCCTTGCTAGGTTGGGGAAGTTCTGGATAATATCCTAAAGAGTGTTTTCCAGCTAGGATTCATTCTCTCCGTCACATTCAGGTACACCTATCAAACGTAGATTAGGTCTTTTCACATAATTCCATATTTCTTGGAGGCTTTGTTGATTTCTTTTCACTCTTTTTTCTCTAATCTTGCCTTCTCATTTTATTTCATTGAGTTGGTCTTCAATATCTGATATACTTTTTTCTGCTTGGTTGATTGGCTATTGAAACTTGTGTATGCTTCGTAAAGTTCTCTTGTTGTGTTTTTCAGCTCCATCAGGCCATTTATATTCTCCAAGCTGTTCATTTTCATTAGCATTTCACCTAACCTTTTTTCAAGGTTCTTAGTTTCTTTGCATTGGGTTAGAACATGTTCTTTTAGTTCAGAGAAGTTTGTTATTACACACCTTCTGAAGTCTGTTTCTGGTGGACTGCCTTGGTAATGGCAGACTTCCTCGGTAGTGGTGGAATGCCTCGTTAATGGCTGATGCCCTTCCCCTTACCAAGCTGAACTGTCCCAGGTCCAACTATGCTTGCTGCAAAATTCTCTATCCAGAGTGCTTCAGATTGCTTGTCTTTGTGGGGTGTGGGATTCAAAAGCCAGTACACCTGGCTTTGCTTCAGCCCCCTTTTTCTCAGTTGCATGTGTGGTTCTGTATCCCAGGTGTTCCAGGTGCCTGTTGAAATGGCCACCCGGATTTGTGTGAATTTTTGTGGAGAGACCCTCAGTGCCAGCTGAAACAGCCATGCTGGAAACTCATGACGCTTTTCAGCCTGGGAATCTCCTGGTCTGTGGACGGTAAAAACTCGTTTGGAAATGCAGTGAACACTCACCCTCTGGGTTCTTTTCCCTGGGAACTGCACCCTAAAGCTGTCCTATGCAGCCATCTTGGATCTCTCCATTGCTATTGGTATTCTTACCATGAAGCTTTCCTCTCTGAATTCATCTAATTGTGATGGCTTTCTCTGTAAACATGTAAAGAGCATATCACTATTTCAGCAAATAGCACATGCTGAATTGCATGGTTTAACTCGTATGTGCATCCTTCCCTCCATCTAGGTTATAAGTCCCTGGATGAATGGGTTTATTTTAATATTCCCATCCACATAAGTTGCCCTGTACATATATCCATTTAATACATATTTGCATATGATTGTGGGGTTCATATAATATATAAATATCAACGCATTGGGAATCAACAAGTTACACTGAATGAGTAGTAAAACATTCATTCATTGAACATACGTATTGAGAATGCACTGTGTTCCAGGCAGTTTTTGGCTCTGGGACTACCACAGCAAACAAAGGAGTTTTATTTCAAAGAATAAAGTGTGTATTTTACTTTGTGACAGCTTGGTGTTGAGAACATGCTGATAAAATATGAAAGTAGAAAGATGGGGATTTAAAAGTTTTGGTTTTGGGATGGTGAGGTAGATCATGTGAGAGGTCAAAAAGTTGATTATGTTATAGGGAGGACTGATATATTGTTCCTTCAAATCTTGAACTCCTGCACCGTGTTCCCATTAGCAACTTCAGATTTTGCTTCCTTGTCTCATTAGTGCAATTTTGCCTCTGGGCCTGCCTGTCTCCTTTGTCCATCACTCATGCCTCTGGCACTTATTGGACCTCTCACTGTGGCTTGAATGTTTGCTTAAATTGTTTCTGTCCTTTGATATTTGTCTGATATTTTAATGTAGGCAGTTAGGGGAGGGGAGAATAACCTTACCCATTCTTAAGGTTGGTAATTACTGATTAAAGGTAATCAGTAAAAGAAAAGAGAAACTAGGGTAATCAAATCAACTGCATATGAAGTTTTGGTTTATACAATAAGCATTTGTGCAGTTTATGAGGACTAATCTATACTTAAAGTGCCACATAAAATGTGTAGTGCTACATGTACATCAGTTATATGCTCTTGGTGTTGTTTGAAGAGAATTTTGGGGGTAGACAGGAGAGATTACAAGGAAGTCAGATCTTCATCTGAAAGCAGATGTGCAAGCTACTGACCAGTCAGGGATTATAGAGGCTTTTCTCCTCGTTGCTGTTCTAAGAAATTCAGAATCAATCCAAAGCCTGTGCAGACATGCTGTATTTTACTCACAAGATTTTTGGGCAGACATTCTCCACAGCTACGGTTTTATTTTTCTCCAATTTTATAATATTCTTTCCCTCATGTAGCAGCATCTGCATTTCAAGTTATTTTTTATTCATTTCTTTATAACCCGGGACAATGGAAAATGTTCAAAGATCAGTTTAATATTTCTGAGAAAGTTAATAGTGCTGAATGACACACCTGTTGGTCACTGTAACACATTTAATGGCAGAAACAAAGATTCTGGATCAACTTCTGCTTTTAATTCTGACCTAGCCAGCTCCTGCACTTCCTTCTGACCCATCACAAAATGAACCTTAAAAATGACTTACAGTTTTTTTCCTAACCCGTCTCTACTGCTTGTGAACTCAAATGAGATCTCTGAAAGGAAAAATCAAAGTCTTAAAAACAAAACAAAACAAAAAAAACTTTCTTTCCCCAATTTAAGTCTTCTTAATTGAATAAGTAGCATTTCCAAACATACAATTTATCTTCATAAAGCTTTAACTCTGCCTAATCTATTTAATCTTGAAATTGTTCTAGAGAACACATAGAAATTTCACAGGAAGTAATTAAGGCAAGCACTTTAATAACAAAATAAGATAGAAATGAGATGGAGTGGCTGTATTTTAACATATACTATAGCCATGTCTAGCGTGTTGCCAGTCGTCAATTTTTAGTATATCTACCAGCCCAATAGACTAGATAAAGAAAATGTGATACTTATACTCCATGGAATACAATTCAGCCATAAAAAATGAGATTTGTCTTTTTCAGGGACCTGGATAGACATGGAGTTATCCGTAATAAACTAACACAGGAACAGAAACCAAATATTGCATATTCTCACTTGTAAGTGGGAGCTGAATGATGGCAACACATGGACCCAAAGAGGGGAACAATCCATACCGGGGCCTACTGGAAGGTGGAGGGTGGGAATAGGGAGAGAATCAGTAAAAATAACTAATTGTTACTAGGCTTAATATGTGGGTGATTAAAAAGTCTGTACAATAAACCCCCCATGACACAAGTTTACCTATGTAACTAATCTGCTTTTATACCCCTGAACTTAAAGTCTTATACAGATTATAGAATAAACTTAAAGTCTTAGTGTTGGGATGTATGGGGTGGATGTAATCTTGGAATGTGCTAGGACTTTTCCTCTGTTGTATAGCTGACATTGAGATGTCAGAACTGGGAGTATTCTTTTACATCCATAAAAACCTAATTGCTTCTCAGATTAAGATTTTAAAGGATCAAATTACCAGTAAAATAATTTATTTGGGGCCTTGGCTGACTGAAATGGCTGCTAATGAAAATATCTGTCTGATCTCTAATTTTTAAAGGTACGTTTTATAACTAAGGCTTGTCTATTACCCTTTTAGGGCAACAGTTTGGAACTTCATTTTTTTTTTTTTTAATATTAGAAGACAAGTGTTTTAAAAACAAAACTTGAAATGGAATTCCAATTATCAACAAGGGACTGATCTTCCTATAGTATGGTCCCTCCTGCTTCCAATTACATCAAATGGAGCACATGCAAAGAACCGCAGGGTTCTGTAGATAACAGTGTGAAAGCCACTGTCCCAGGTTATAAATTCCTAACAGGCCACAATAGACCAGTGGTCAAGGGGACATGCGCTGAAGCCAGATGGATTTGGATTCTAATCCTAGCCCTTAGATTTACTGGTCTTGTGAACTTGAGTAAGTCATTTCACTTTACATGCTTCATTTTCCTTAGTTCTAAAATGGGATGATAATGTCAGTGACATGATGTTATAAGGAGTGAAAGATATTTCAGGGATTCTTAATTTTGGAGAGTCACATAACCCTTTGGTACAATTGGAAAATACCATATAGAGTTAAAAAGAAAACCAATTTGTTACCAGACACCCTGCAAAAGGAGAAGCTTCTATGTGAGTAATAATCAGTATGTGTGTCCTTTTGCAGGGTGTCTGGTAACAAATCATCTTTTTCCCCAAGGGAGCCATTCAACAGGTATCGATGGTTATTCTTCTGAATATGCTGATACGTTGCAGAGTTTGGTAAACTGCCTCTTTGAGCTAAAAATAGGCAATTTAATTAAAAGTTATTATAAGGGTGACTCATCACTTCTAACATCTAGGTCAATACCAAGCCACTACTCCTTTTATCACCACCTACCACCACAGGCCTTTGCAATGAATACGAAGAGCTTTCACATTCCAACTTATGTAAGTGACACATAATTATCCCCACCTTATGGCTGGGGAAATGCATGTAAAGAGGAGACTTGAGAAGTAGCCGGGTAGTAGAGTGAGAAAAAGCTTGGGAGGCAGAAAGATCCTGAAGCTACAAGGGCTTTGTTGGAACTCAGATAATGATAGCCCAAGGGTGGAAGGGTTGCTTGAGGCTGAAGTGGAGGCCACTGCCCTCCAGCCTGAGTGACACAGCGAGATCCTGTCTCAAAAAAGAAAAAAATTTGGCCCAAAGGTTTGGAACACTTTGGCATACTGAACACTTTGAACTAAATATAGAGAGGGTTCCTAGCCTCAACAACATAAAATTTACCCATGTTACAAACCTGTACCATGTTACATGTACCTCTAATCTATAATAAAAGTTGAAAAAATAAAACAGAAAAGTCTTAGAAGCTGCCTCAGAATCAAAGACTTTCTGATCTCTCCTGTCTCCCCACTACCTCAAGAGCAGGAAGGGACTCTCTCTGGAACTCCTTATTTGACTAAGGAAACTTCTTTCCAAAAGAAAAGCAGTTGTTTTAAGTTCCCTTGCCTAGGAATCTCATCAAATAACCAGTAAAGATGAACCACAAAAGAGGAGACTAAAAATTGGCACCACATCCAGAGAGACTTTTCATCAATTCTGAGGGCAACTCAGAGATTACCTGGGCAACTATTTGCATAAGACAACCTTTCTTCAGTGAAGCTCCTCCCCTCACTTTCTTGCCACCCCTCCCCGGAGCTCAGAGGAACTTTGTCCCAGGACATGGTTCTTGGAGCTCATTCCTTTCTCCTGAAAATCATTTACTACCCTTCACAATCGCCTGCACATCCCCCTCCCTGAATTTCTCTCTCCCTATTAAGAAGGTATTTAAACTTCAACAATCTGACCCTACTTTGAGTCTCCTATTTGTGGGAATCACATGTCCACATACACATAAATTTGTATGCCTTTTTCTCCTATTAGTCTGTCCATTACCAGTCAGTCAAACTTTCAGAGACACTGGAAGGAAAGCCTTCCCTCTGCCCCTACAGCTGCCAAGAGAGCCAAACCCAGGTGAAAGCAAGTATCAAAGTGGCAGTGGAGCAATGAAACCCAAAGCCACTTTATCTTAAGGGTATCTACTGAATCTGGCAAACTAGAAATTTAATTTTCTTTTTCTTTTTCTGACACAGAGTCTCGTTTTGTCGCCCAGGCTAGAGTACAGTGGTACAATCTCAGCTCACTGCAACCTCCACCTCCCGGCTTCAAGCAATTCTCTGCCTCCGCCTCTCAAGTAGCTGGGATTCCAGGTGTCTGTCACCATGCCCAACTAATTTTTTGTATTTTTTAGTAGAGATGGGGTTTCACCATCTTGGCCAGGCTGGTCTTGGACTCCTGATCTTGTGATCCATCTGCCTTGGCCTCCCAAAGTGCTGGGATTATAGGCGCACGCCACCACGTCCAGCTAATTTTTTGTATTTTTAGTAGAGGTAGTGTTTCGCCATTGTTGGCCAGGATGGTCTGGAACTCCTGGCTTCAAGTGATCTGCCCACTTAAGCTTCCCAAAGTGCTGAGATTACAGGTGTGAGCCATCGCGCTGTATCCCAGCACTTTGGGAGGCCAAGGGGCGTGGATCACCTGAGGTCAGGAGTTGGAGACCAGCCTGACCCAGCATGGCAAAACCCTGTCTCTACTAAAACGACACAAAAAATTAGCCGGGCGTGGCGGTGGGCACTTGTAATCCCAGCTACTTGGGAGGCTGAGGCAAGAGAATCGCTTGAACCTGGGAGGTGGAGGTTGCAGTGAGCCGAAATTGCACCACTGCACTCCAGCCTGGGCGAAAAGAGTGAGACTCCACCTCGGGAAAAAAAAAAGGAGAAACAAAAATTAGCCGGGCATGGTGGCACGTGCCTGTAATCCCAGCTACTCAGGAGGCTGAGGCAGGAGAATCGCTTGAACCTGGGAGGCAGAGGTTGCAATGAGCCAAGAGCACACCACTGCACTCCATCCTGGGCAATAGAATGAGACTCTATCTCATAATAAAATAAAATGTCATAAGCCAATTGCAAAATGTATATAGGAAGGCAGACTCAAGAACAGCTGACACTTTGGAAGAACAAGGTGGGAATACGTGTCTTTCCAGATACCAAGACTATTTTAAGGCCATATAGTAATTAAGAGACAGTGACACTTAAAGGATAGACAAACAGATCATTGGAATAGAGAGCCCATAAACAAACCTTTGTATTAAGTGACTCTGCCTACTTGACAGAGGTGACCCTGCAGCTTAATGGGGGAAAGGAAGTACTTTTCACTAATGGTAGAGGAAAAAGTATTTGTCAATTCAAAGTATTTATTAGTCTACCCAAGTTCAACCCTACCAGTTAACAAAGCAATTTTCTCCTTGAGCCCAGGAAAAGTGATACTAGATAAGAACATGGTATTATTACCTTTAAAGTAGCCATAATATTGGAGGTGATGGTACATAAAGTCTTCATAGGGATCAGGAAGTCTGTGAGTCTGTGAAAGGAAGGGACACTTCAATCAAGATGTTTTCAAACGATAATAGACTCAACAAAAAGTACATGAGCATTGTTGTAGACGACTAAACACCCAGCGAACCACATTCCATATGAATTATTCTATCATAGGGATCAAGATCTTCAGCTGGGAAAAGATGCCACCAGAACATCCCTTCTCATCTAGTATCGGATTTCTGTGGAGTTCCCTGAAGAAATCTGTGGCTTTCTGTGTTGTGTACCGACCTCCTGCTTTAGCTGCATTTCCAAGGCTGGGAACATGTTATTTCTGCATGGTGGGCTGAAGACTAGTCAGTGACGTTGGCATCCAGCTGCAAACCCTGCCCAATTTCCAAATACGCAGGTGATTACACACGAGAAGCTATAAAGCCAGAACAGGACAAGTGAAAAAACTGCCAATACCTCCCTGCAACCCCCGAGCTCCCGCTTGACTTCAGAAAACTCTGCCAACTCAGCTTCTCCTCAGCCAAACAAGGTGGTCACGTCGAGGCCGGAGGTGCACCTGAGACAGGGAGGACGGCGGGTCTTCCTGCCTCTTCTTCCCAAGGTGCTGGCCCCATGCTTCCTGCTCCCTGAGAAGGAAGATGCTCGCCACAGAGAAGTGAAAGAAATGGGGATGGGAGCACGCGGCGGAGTCGTGTCGGGGTAGATGGAAAAAGGTCAGGGGATCGGGAAAGTGAGCCCTGAAAACTGAATTTCAGGTTCAGAGGAACCTGGTCGGGGGCAGCTGGTGAGGGGGTTTCCAAAGGGTAGGAGGGAGAGGGGGAGCAGAAACTTCCCAAGATGGATGCGACCGCCTTCGCGCCCCGGCCTGTCCCAAGCAGCACGGATGAGTGCGGCAGAGAAGCCCGAGCGAGGCAGGCAGCCACTGCACTTACGTACAAAGGCCAAGCCTTGTGCGGGAAAGGGGACACACTCGCCGCACCTGCCTACCACCGCTTTCTGTGAGGTCTCAGGTAGCCTAGCAACCGCGAGCGGGAAGCGGAAGAAGGGCGGGGCTGCCGGGCGCTTCCGGGGAGCTAGGCCCCTCCCCCAGGGAGGGAGACGGCAGCCCCGGGAAGGTCAGCAATAAGCTTGGCGGGCGGCGCCCACTCAGATTCATTCTTCCCCTCATACATTACAGCCCCAGCCTGGGAATCGAAACCGCATTGATGAGTACAGTGCCAGCAGCCCTCAACATATTTCCAAGCTCGTTTCCTGTTGCTTAGCTTTAGATCATTCTTATGCATACTTTGCTCTAAGACAGCTGCTGCTCCTCTCCTTTCACCTTATATTCTCTCCACTCCATAGCCAGAACGGAAAAATTACCTTCTACACTGAAAAACTTAAGAAACAAAGCTAGCAAATTCAAATCACACATTTTGATTTGGTTTTAAAAATTATATGCATAGCCGGGCGCGGTGGCTCAAGCCTGTAATCCCAGCACTTTGGGAGGCCGAGGCGGGTGGATCACGAGGTCAAGAGATCGAGACCATCCTGGTCAACATGGTGAAACCCCGTCTCTA